AGCAATCGGGGGTTGTCCCTACAGCATGCTGGAAGATTCTCTGTGAACTGGTTCATCCTCTTCAATGATGCTCTGGTACATGCTCAGGTAAGCCAGCTTATATCCAGGAACAAAACCTTTTCTCTGCTTCAAACAACATGACATATTTCATATAGTGAAGAGTAAGTTTTTGCACCATTCACTGCAATGTTGCTTCAAGACTTAAAAGTGATTTTTTTGTCTTCATGTTTACAAACAAATTTGAAATTATGTACTTTTTGGTTTTTTGTTTTTTGCTTAATGTTTGATTGCTGTTGCCCTGTGACTGGCATGATTTCTGTTAGCTGTTTCTTGGAGCGAGATGCATATAAGGAACCTGTAATGCTCAATTTTCCCTAGTCCTCAAAGAAAGGAAAAAAAAAAAACTGTTCAAAAAAGCATGGGGCAGGGGTGATGGATCAGGACTCAGTGAAGTTTCCCTTCTCCTCCTTCTTACCTACAGTTCTCAACGCACCATATTTTTCCCTTGTCTACGCTGTGGGTAGAAGCTCTTTCAGAAGAAGCTGGTAATGTGTGAGTATTCTTGCTTGTGATGCTGAAATAGTCAGATATCTTGGGAGGGAGGATGAGCATTTTGTAACCAATTATTGTAAACTAGGAGCAGAATAGGCTGGATGAAATCATGTCTACCCCTCTTGTTTCAGAAAACTTACTGTATTTCTATGTCTTTAAAAAAAAAAGTTGTATAAACCTCAGAAAGAACAAGGTAATCAAGAGGAAAGCAAGTAGTCTTTCTTGCTGCTTCTTTTCACCTTTGACTTAAAGTGAATTCTAGCTGGGTTGGGGGAGGGAAGATACAATATTCATGCTCTAAGAAGCCTTGCCTTTTTCAGGTTGAAATTTCACTCGATTAAAATACTCCCCCCTTCCCCCCTTCTCCCCCCCAGGAATGGATTGAAGATCACAACACCAGAAGAACAGTTTGTTCTTGTTTCTTCAACGCCACAGGAAAAGGTAGGCACATCTACGAATTTTGCATGGCTTCAGTGATATGAATGAGTTTTTCTTTCCTATTGTGAAACCAAATAGGGAGAAGTATTGCCCAAGTAAGTATTGACCAAGAATGAAGTCTTAGTACAACTTGGTATGCAGGTTGGCTGTACACTGTGCTTGACTGTAGCAGTGCTCCAGTTTACAACACCACTGAGGAGTGCGAAGGAGATCATTGTAGTTGCTGTAAGGATGAGATTCAGTGCAAAGACAGATGTTAGCTAAATTCTGTGATGAAACACTTTCTGTTTCAGACCAAGTGGCTGAGGGCAATAAGCCAAGCAGTGGATCAGGCCCTTAAAGGGACTTCTGACTTAATTCTATATGGAGCTGGTGGGAATGTGCCAAGACAGGAACCTCCTATTTCTCGCAGTGCCAAATACACCTTCTATAAGGACCCTCGATTTAAGGATGCTGTTTATGATGGGAGATGGCTTTCAGGAAAACCCCATGGCAGGTAAAAGTATATGAACTTTAACAGTTGAAAACAAAATTAGATGGTTGCTGTATCAATAAGTAGGCTCACTCACAGAAGTTATATGGGAAGTGCGAAGTGAACTGATTATCTAATACACATGTATGGCTTTGTGTTTTTTTCCAGAGGGATCCTAAAGTGGGCAGATGGAAGAATGTACTCTGGGACTTTCCGGACTGGGCTGGAGGATGGGTAAGATCCTCTCACTACTTGTGGAGCCAGAGGGCAGGAAATACCTTTTGTTGTAGGACATAAAACCAAAACTCTTTAATTAAAGGTATTGCAATGAATCTTACTGACTCAGGGTTATGTGTGTTATATTTCTGTGTTTTGATATATGGATAATTTCTCATTTAGCCAGAGCTATGCTAGTTGTATGCATGACAGACTCTGCGACTGTGTGATTAAAAACTTGCTCTTTCATAAAATCTGAAACTAATTTGACTAACCAGCTGTAGGATGGAGGAAAGAAATGGTAAAACAGCTGAGGGGAAAGAATGGGTGGGTGGGTGTAAACTCCTAAGCAGAGGAAGCCAATTGAAAAGTCTGCATTCAACTTCCAGCTGTATAGGTAATTATTAACTTGTTGTGTTGCAATGTTCTTTCAAAAGTTCTGGTATTGTTTGGGGTTTTTTTTAATGCTTCTAGAAAACGCAATGCCTCTCACACTATGTAGTGATGCATCTTCTCTAATGTTTTCTTTGCTGTATTTCTGGTAGAGCAAAGGTTTAATAATTCAAGGAGACAACAAAATCCTGAATTGAGACTTCAAGATTTGGGTGATAAAAACAAAACTAATGAGAGTATGTGACCCTGATGGTTAAAATAACTAGTACAGAGGAGTTTGAAAATAGGATGAATGAAAATCCTAGACATTATCAAGTTACCTGGTGAAACAAATAAGACCACTTGAAAGTAATTTAGTAATTTATTATAGAGCTTTGAATTAATCTATGGATTTCATTGCTAAGAATCTGCTTAGGGCAGTATTGAGGCTAAGAGGTTAACTTCTTTCCAAAATAATTTTTGTATGAATCTTGTGAGCAGACATGTCTGTACTGGGCAGGATAAAAATATATGAGGAATCCTATTGGCTTCCAGATGTATTTTGAAAGTATTGAGTTGGAGGGGAAATGGAAATGTGGTCTGGCTGCAGACAGCTTTTTAAAATGCATGTTAGCTATTGGTATAATGTCAGACTATAAATCCGGATTAGAGCTTCGGTGGTTTGTAACTAATAGTAAGTGTAACTAACCCTGATGATTTTAAGGTTGTTGGAGATGGAAATATTGCAAACAAACCCCCACCAGAAAAAATGGATTGGTATTTAGCTGTAATTGCTAGGATTATCAAATGCATATATTTGTATTTCCGCAAGCATGCTATAGTTTCAACACTTAACAGTAACGTCTTGTTGGGGTAGCCGTGCTCTCAGGAAAACCACCATAACTGGGTTTTAATTTCCTCAGAAGATTAAAATCACTAAATAGGAGTTGTGTGTCTCATTCTTGTCAGGCACACTGAAATTGTGAACAATTCTGTGCCACTGTTTGAGCATAATTGGAAGCTAGCATCTTTTTTAAAAATACTCTCTTTAGCAATATGTTATCTTTCCCTGGAACATAGGTGTGCTTGAATTATAAAGACCTAAAGAAGACAACAAAGACAGAAGCAGTGTTAGGATGTGAGAAGACTTGTGGCCTTTAGAAAGCCGAGAAGAATGCTGCAGTGTGGTAGAGAGGTGAATGCTTACAAAATGCCACAATAGAACAGGAGAAAAGCAGTACGGACTAAATTGACCTTGTGATGCTGGAATTCCTGCTTTGTCTTTAAAAGAATAATTAAAAAAAATAATTCTGTAACTGCTGTAGTTGAAGAGATGCACTAAAAATTATACAGAGCATTCTGATCTTAGAATGGGTCTGTGATATGTATCTGCTCCTGTTTTTAATGAAAAATATTAGCATTATAGCTGCTTGTGTTACATGTCTGTGCATTGACAGGTATGGTGAATACAGAGTGCCAAACAAAGCATTGAATAAGGATGACCATTACGTGGGGTACTGGAAGGAAGGCAAAATGTGTGGGCATGGAGTCTACAGGTAATATGTAGCATTTGTGTTGCTGTCATTGCAGAAGGGAGGGCAGCTTACCAAGCCTCTGTATGTAGCTTTTTTGTTACATTTTAGACTTGTGATTATAGTTAGCATGGCTTATTTTCTGATTTGCTTTTGGTAGATTGCTCACAATGCATACTGGTACAGTGTTCTATTGTTAATATGTATTCTAATGTTGCTACCACCTTTCAATAATAGAGGATTCTTTCTCCTAAGAAATAAATATAACCTCTAATGGCCTTGCTTGCTGGGGAGAGAGTGGCTTTAAAATAACAGAGCATCAAAAGACTTGTCTTAAAGGCTCACTTTTATCCTAGATATACTTTTACTATAGTTCCTGCTTGGTGTGGCTGTCATGTTGTAATTCCTAGAAGGAAAAAGAGAGGGTTGATCTATTCTGAGGAGGGGAAAAAAAAATACAAACCCCCACCTGACAAAACAACCAAACAAAAAACCCCAAACCCACAACAGAACAGTTGATTCTAGGAATCTTACTTACTCTCTTTTTCATTATAGCTATGCTACTGGTGAGGTGTATGAAGGGTGTTTTCAGGATAACATGCGTCATGGGCATGGTCTGCTACGCAGTGGGAAGCTGACCTCTTCCTCTCCCAGTATGTTCATTGGACAGTGGACAATGGATAAGAAGAGTGGTTATGGAGTTTTTGATGATATCACAAGGTAATGCTTCAGTTCTATAAATCCTTAAACACTGGTATGACATACAACTGCAAAAGAGTAGGAAAGGATTTGATCTGTTAGTAGCAGTAGTAGTGCATGTCTATTTTTTATTTTTTTCTTCTTTATACTAGGCTTTCTGGGTTGATTATCTAAAGAATTGGGTCTAGAAACTGCTTTTTGGTGCTGCTTCTGGAGTAAATGTGGGAGGTTTTGTTTTGATTTGTTTTTTTCTGCCTTGGTTTCCTAGCATACTCCTGCCTGGACACTAGTTCTGAATATCATATCTTATTGGGATATCTTGTTGTGTGAGTGCTGAAAGTTTTATGGATGTCATTTGAGGAGTATTCTTTCATCTCAGGCCTATAAGACTGCGTTGTTCAGTGACTGGATATACAGGACTAGGTAAATTTCAGCTCATGCACAGGTTTTCCATTGACTTACTCTGTAAATGCAGGGGAAGAAAGATGCTTTCTCTCAGGGCATATTAGTGAAATGATGGTCTCGGAAACAGAATTGTGCTAAACGTGCACTAAATAAAGATTGTCTGAGCACAGATCAGTGTAGTCTGTTTTTTCAGTCACCAATTTAATGATGATTTTTCCTGAAAAGAGAGCTTTTGGCGAGAATGCAAGAAAACTGCTTTTGGTTTAACTGAACTGAAAGCCCACTTATAAAGGAGAACAGTAAAAAGTCTGGAGGTGAGAGGGGTGTGTAGAAGTGTGTATGTGGATGTTTTTCTGAAACAGCTATTTTAGCATCTCTAGATATTTCCTGATGTCGGTTTTGCATCTGGTCTTGCTCAATGGTGGTGGTTGTTATTCTTATACTCTAATGTCAAGATGTATCCACATACTTATTTATTTATTCATTTACCTACCTAGGACAGAGTAGAGAGATGGCAGCTTTCCTCGCAGATCCTTTCACCTCCACCATTTGTAAATGCAGTGGCAGTTCATGGTGGAGGAGGAGGCATTTGCGTTCTGTTCTAGAATTACTCAAATACGAGTGAGCTATTCTCATGGTAGTTTTCTTTCAGGTCCTGGGGAAGGATATGTGCGTATATTTGCAGCCTAAGGATTTGGTTTTTTCACTTTTTATTCTTCAGCCCAGACAAATAAGGAATAGCTGCAGACACTTTATAACTTGCTGTCATTATTGCAAACCAGTCATTTGAGCAAGTGGGACTTCTACTCTGTTATGTTTCCATCCTGGTAACTGAGTATGCTGCATCTGTCTCTTCAAGAACCCTTCACCCAACAGACACCTTTAGCTGGCATAACGGATCAGACCAGCATCCTGCCTAGGCTATGGGTCCAGTCAGCTGGAAGATACCCCCGAATTTAGATTGATGGCTGGGCTTGCTCTCTTTACCTAGGTACTAGAAGGAAAATGCTATGCAATAAGCAAAGTTCTAGCAAATCAGTCACTAGCTTCCCTCCAAAAGAAAATTAAATCCTTGATGAATGTCGTGGTTTAGGTTTTTTTTTTCTCATTACTTCTATGGTGAAAACATCGTGTCCTTTTTCAGAACAACTGAAAAAATATATTGTTTCAAAATATTTGGGACTTGCACTTAATTTCAAATGCTCTAGCCTGACCTCTGGGAACTTAGACTCTCAAAAAAAGTATTTTAAATAGTAGTCTGAAAGAGGGTGATGTTTACTTGTGAGAAATCTTTAATTGTCTAATAACTTTTTTTAATGGTATGACCTTTGTTCAGCTATTATGCAGCAACTTGCAACAATGTGATCTGTTTCCTTACAGTTTTTTGCACTCTAATATTTTCAAAATGTCATGTATGACTTTGTAGGTCTCCTTCCTATGCCCCGAGTAGAACAGCTTGGTTTCTTTCATGTATTATCCTCTCAATTTGAGTGATCTGAGTTTGGGTAAAGAAATCAAAAGCTTTGGCAAAAAAAAAAATTGCCTAAAATAAGCTTCTTGCATCTTTTCTAAACTGTTAAATACATCGGGTAGACGCCTGATGAAGCTGAAGATCCCCTTTCATATGCAACTTACATCTTAGATAAAGCTGATGCAGATCAGCTAACAAGTTTCCCTCATTCTTATGTGCTGTAGCTACTGCTCAGGTTCCTTTGGATAGAAATTGGGCTTAACTAGGCTTCAGCATTGTTTCCTGTCATCAGGAACAGTTTGCTTGGATGTGGCCAATTTGTAATGTTAGTTGCGAAAGGAAGCTCATTATAGTTTATTTCTATCAAAAATAAAGTATCTCCATAAATCTAGTGAAACTAGGTTGACAGACCTGAAGCAAGTGCTTTATGACTCTTTTTCTAATTGTTTCTGTAATGGTTAAATATCGCAGTAAAGTCAAAGAAAGGATATAAGTGTACTACTTGGACTGTATTCTTCCTATTTCTTTTTTCTTTAGAGGAGAAAAGTATATGGGAATGTGGCAAGATGATCTTTGCCAAGGCAATGGTGTTGTGGTGACTCAGTTTGGACTGTATTATGAAGGAGCCTTCAGCACGAACAAAATGATGGTGAGTTGAACACCAGACTCTGTGCTATAGTGACTTCTCTAAGTGCGGTAGCTTTCTGGGGTAGATTGAGTGTATGTTAGGCTGTGTAAACCTCCTGGTTTTCTAACCTCCTATTGTCCTGGCTTTTTAAGCTGTTTTTATAATCCCTGCTCTGCTTCACCTAGGACTACTTCAGAAACTGCTATTTGAAAAAGACTATTTACTAAGAATTAGTAACAGGTTTTTCAGTGTATCTTTAGATCTGCAGTCTGGCCTTCTGTTATAATTACTGCTTTGTGTTCTTTATGATTCTCTTTACAGGGAACTGGAATTCTGCTTTCTGAGGATGATACAGTCTATGAGGGGGAATTTTCAGATAACTGGACTCTGAGTGGAAAGGTTGGTATTACAACTGTCACTTGTAAACTGTTACCATCTAAAAAGGAGTCTCTTTCCTTGTACTTTGGTTCCCAATAGATTTCCATTAAATTTATTTTTTTTTATTCTCTTCTCTCAAGGGAACACTGACCTTGCCAAACGGAGATTATATTGAAGGTCTCTTCAGTGGAGAATGGGGATCTGGGATAAAAATCACAGGAACCTATTTCAAACCTAGCTTGTATGAGAATGAGAAAGACAAACCTAAAGCATTGTGAGTGTTGAATAAGAAATAATTTCTTATATGGTTCAGTAATATTTGGAACATAACTATTGTCTTTTTTCAAAGGCCAGTTAAAAGTATTTTTTCCAAAGAAACTGAGATTTTGAAAACACTTTTCCTTATTCATTCTTTTTCCTTCCTGCTTAGGAAATAAACTGAGATAAAAATCTTCTTTATAGCTGTTCTTGCTTTAATTACTACTTGAATACACAAGTAACGGCATGAAATTACAGGATAGCCAACATGCTGCTGCTCTCCTGTAGCGGTCTCAAAATTTTTTTATTTATATCTGAACTGACTGTTAGAACCTGAGTTCACAGCTGCTGATGACTTTAGAGGTACTGAGAAAGACTGAGTTACATTTGAGCGATCAAGTCAATCACAACCTCTCTGCCTTCTGCCAATTATTCTGTTGGTAAATTAACTCATTTATTTTGTCATTTAATAATGCCAGTAGGGGTACATTTGGACAGAATTAGCTGTTTACCACACCTCTTCCAAACAATGGGTAAGAAAACAGTAGAAAAATCTGCTAAACTGCAAAAGAGAGCATTTTAACACCTTGGCAAAGATAATTTTGAAAAGTAGCCATATAACCCTATTTATAGCGGAGGCATCGGCTCAATCTGCTTAATGAGCTCTGGGGAAAAAACATTTGTTTTAAGTAGTAACTGAGATATCTTTGAGTAGAAGAAACTTAAGTAAATTTAAAGAGTTGGTGACATTTCAGTATTTGGTAGCACTATATTCAGGTTTACAATAGTAGTAATTGTTGTACAGGATTCAATACCTTTGAAGCATACTATCGAATCCCAGATTAAAATGGGAAACAACTCTAATGTTTTTACCTAGATTACTTCTCAGTATGCTTCCTGAAGCATTCACTGGTAATTTCTTTTGACAGTGCTGACACCTACAACAGGATGCAAAGTTAAGCAGGCCTCCCTGGAACTGCTGAACTGAACACTTGCAACCTTAGCAGCTGTCTGCTTTTTACCCCAGTAGGGAGTCTATGAATAAATGTATGTACATATTTGTGAAGATTGCTTGTGAAGTAAGGGTTTCATCTACCCTTTTCAGGCTCTCTTGAAGTTGAAAATCTTCTGGTATAATTTGTGAAAAGGCTTAGAGCCTACTTTTTCTGCTCTCTGAAACTGGAAGCATGGGGAAATTATCCTTGTTGCTAGTTCTCCTCTCAAACGTGGTGGAAAAATATTAATGAAAGGTCTGACGATTTCTGACTCTTGGTTTAAATTCACGATAGAACTGTTAACCCTGACAGCATTTATTTGCTTTATGAAAGCTTTTCAAAGCCCTAAATTTCATTATATGTCTGAGGTATATAGATATATATGGGCAGAACAACAGTTCTTAGTTTTCCTTTGGCTATAGCGGATCCCTGAGCATTGGCTCTCAGTGAAAAGATGCCTAAACTTTTTACTCTCTACCAGCACATCCCTAACATGGCAAGCAACATCATATGTAGATACTACTTTAGGGGCAGAAGCTATATATCCATTCTTGGTATTTATCTGTGTAGCTGTGCTATTTGTACATTCCAGGAAAGTGAGATATTTGGGACACTTTTGCACTATGTCTTTGCTACATGAATGTGTCCTGAGCCTTCTGAATGAATACCGGTGGTGAAGATAAGCCCAGTTGAGTGCAGTATGTCCTGTTTTCTTGGAAATCAAACCAGGCCTTTTTGTGTTTAAAAGAACCATTTCTTGGAAGACTATAAAAAGAGTAAGACTGATTTGTCTAATGTAATAAGGTTCATAGTTGTTACCCCATGTAGGTATTAAAAACACTTTAATCTTGTAACACCATAATATTTTACATGTATTACTGTATGCTAGTTAGCAAGGAAAAAAAACAATTTAAGGATAGGTATAACTTTTTGTAAATTCTTTTTAAAGGTGTTGAAAGTCAAGGCGTTAATAAAATAATAGATTTTAGATTTATTCTTAATGATAAACTTAGCTCACAGTAGAGACTGTTAAGTATATCAGCTTTCGGTAAAATAGTATGAGATATTAAACTGATGTTAGCCATAGGTGGTTTTCATAGCTGAATGTGTTGTTTCATGACTGTTTGATTTTGACTAACGGGTCATTTTATTAGGCGGAAACTTGGGATCCTGGCAGTGCCTCCCGATGAGAAATGGAAGGCAGTATTTGAAGAATGCTGGAACCAGCTTGGTTGTGAGATCCCGGGCCAGGGGGACAGATGGAAGGCTTGGGACAACATTGCAGTGGCTCTGACCACCAACCGACGGCAACACAGAGACAGGTTGGTTCCTAGAGAATGTGGTCAGCAAGATGAAGAAAGTATTGAGAAAGAAACTGGAATCACACTATAGACTAGAAACTCTTAACTGTAAAAGTTCAGTTAAAACAACAACCACAAATCCTAAACAAAATCAGAACTCTTAATACTCTGCCCTATAAACCCTTTCAGGGACATACTGATGTCTGGAATTAGTTCAGTTGTTACCTTCAAGTTTTTTTCCTACTTTGTGTCTAATAAATTATCTGTACCATGTCTTTCTGCTTTTTATAACTGCAGCCCAGAATTACTGAGCCGCTCACATACTCAGACACTGGAAAGTTTGGAGTTCATTCCACAACACATTGGTGCCTTCACCCTGGAAAAATATGAAAATATAAAAAAATATTTGATAAAGGTATTGTGACTCTCAAATGCTCGCGTAGCTTGTTGGTAAGGCATGATGTCAACCTCACTTTGTAATAGCTTTCCTTAATTCATTCCATATTTGCATTCTTGTAATCCATGTTGTATTCATTTGTGTTTGCTCATAACTTCCTAATTTATTGAATTAAAATGCACAACTAAGACTAAAATCATATATACCTAATGGATACTACCTTAAAGTCAGTTTCTGCTTAGTTACCACGACATTCTTATACATTGGATCACAGCAAAGCATCTTGAAATACTTGCTAATATTGCATGTTGATTTTAATAGTACTGGACAGATGACTTGTCTAAGTAGTAACACAAGATCTTGTACTGTCTTGACTCCTCTGAGCTGTATTCAGCTAATACATAAATTTTATAATCCAAATGGTATTTTACTAAATATAGCTCACTTTTTGATGTATTTGTAATAACTTTTTTCAAAGCCTGTTGGATCTCTGACCCATCTCTCGAATTCCATTTTTTTCTGTGTCTGGCACTGACCTATCTGACTGGCCAATTAATATCTTTCACCTCAGGCTTGTGATACTCCTCTCCATCCGTTGGGCAAGCTGGTGGAAACACTAGTTGCTGTCTACAGAATGACCTATGTTGGAGTAGGAGCTAATCGACGATTACTGCAGGAGGCTGTAAGAGAGATAAAGTCCTACCTCAAACGCATCTTCCAGTTGGTTAGGTAATGAGACTCTAATTTTCAAGTCGAACTACTGCTGGATTAAAGATGTCTCATCTACTGAAACTGTCTAGTATTTATGCAGTCCAAGTGTGCCAGTATCTTTACTGTGTTTTGGGGATTGCTATTATTTCCTTAACCTTTTTAAGGAATTTGGAATATTCTGTCAAAATAGAAAGATTAAAATCTTCACCATAGTGTATTACATCCTACATTATACTTTAAATTAAATTATGGCTGTAGGAAGCTTGCCTTCAACGTGGATTTCCAATTTAGTGTCTCTGTCCGTGCTGTGAAAAGGCAGTTTTCAAAGGGTATAGAAGAATAGCGAGGATGGGGACTCGCAGTGTATTCCATTGAAATTCTTACCAATGTGGATGAGCAATGTTGCTATGAAGTATTTGCTTAGATTCTTGAGAGCAATTACAACTTTACTTGAGTACTGCCAATCTGAAAGCAGAAATACTCCAAATTCTTAACCATGAGAAGCCGTGTCTGGAAGGCAGTGATGTCAAGGTAGGAAAGGTATCTCTGGCATTGGAGGGGTTGGCCTTCATAAGTTTTCTTCCAGGTAGGTGGTACTGTACATCTGTTAGCTATGCTGTCTTAGTCCACCAGGTATTATTTCAACTGGCTTTTGTTTCCTCTCCAATCTTGCCTTCTAATGCTCTGATTTGTAGAAACTGCATGAAATGAAATCATGTTACTATGTGTATTGCCATGTAGGTTCTTGTTTCCTGATCTTCCGGAAGAGGGCAGCACAATTCCATGTCTGGCAACGGAGACAAAGGGAAGGCGATCGTTTTGCAGCGGGAAATCTGACTCCAGATCAGAATCTCCTGAGCCGGGGTATATAAGGGGAAAAAAAAACAACTAGACTAAGGAAGCCTTCGTTTTATTTCTGTTCACAGTTTTTTCTTGAGTGGGGTATGAAAGATAAGCACATGTTTAACTGATGAATGTAAGCAGGTTTTTTTTTTTCATTTTACTCTGAAGACAGATTCTGATAAGGAAACTCCCAAGTGATGGTTGCAGTGAGCACTTCATCCATGTTCCAGGCAACCATTCTTTACTTAAGCCCAAACTTGCTTTTGTCTGTTGTGGGTAAACAAGTTCAGGCTTGGGCCTGGGCTTCAGAAAACTGTTTGGGATATGAGCAGAGGGGTAATTCAGGTCCAGTGCACCCCACAAATAGCCAGTCACATGGAGCTCACCCTTGAGTCTATCGTTGTCCTGTCCACAGCAGCCTCCAGTGTGGTCAAAACAAGGAAGAGGGATCAGTAGAGAGCCTTCTGAGACAGGCTGCAGTGACCTGGGCAGATGGTATTAGTAGGTACCTTGAGTTCAGCTTTCCCTATTAGGATTACAGCTTGATGCCAAGCAACTGCTGACTTCACGAAGCCTGGAGTGTGTGGAGCTAGGTCAGGTAACTTAATGGGTTTTGCCTGTTTTCTAGCTTGTGCTTTGAAGGTAAAGTTCAGCTGTCTACAGAGTGGCTCAGACTAGGGCCTAAATGATTAGCATGAAGGTACAAGTAAAACTTGAACTATAACATAGTACAGTATTCAACTTTTACACAAAGAAGAAAGCTAATGTTCTGTTTAAAACACATAAACCACAAAAAGCCTGCACCACAACCACTGCCCCAAACCCACCTGTATGTGGATTGTAAAGGAAAATTATTCCTAAGTATTTCTTAGCACAGGTACTATTTGATGGATTTTTATTTCTTTTATTATTCTTCTTCCTCATAGATATGAGCTCATAGGCTCATACTAAATGAAAGATTTGTTCCATTTGTTTCATCTTTATTCAGTTTTTATATAGTTAGGTTTTTAAAAAGTCGTCTTCTTTGAACCACGCCCTCTCTTTTTTCTTTTTTTTATAGCTATGTGGTAACCAGTTTTGGCTTGCTGCTCCCTGTGTTACTGCCACGACTCTATCCTCCTCTCTTTATGTTGTATGCCTTAGACAACGAGCGTGAGGAAGACATTTACTGGGAATGTGTTTTACGTCTAAACAAACAAACTGATATGGCTCTTCTAAGTTTTCTTGGAGTGCAAGCGTGAGTATGCTTCAACAATAAAAGTAGAACTTAGAAAAAGATTGGCTAAAAAAAGCCTGTTGTCTAAAGTGCGCATTTGTCTTTGATTAAAATGCATCTAAACATATCTTCAAGCTAGTTGATGTGGTTGAGACAGTGAATCAAGACTTCACTCTTCCAAGAAAGGGGGCGGGGGGAGATTGGCATTGCTACAAAACCAGAGTGAGGTATTTCAAATTAGGCTATTTTCCAGCTATTTGTGCTAGATATAGTTGATCCTGTAGAAAAAGCTGTTGTATCTCATAGAAGAACATGATAAAGCATTTTTCACCTTATGAAAGTGAAGACTATGATCTCTCAATAGACTTCGGATTTCTTGCAGGAAATTTTGGCCTGGAAGTGTATCCATCCTTGGAGAGAGTAGAAAGGTACGTTCACTGGGCCTTGACTTACAGTATGCTGTGTTCAGTGCTACTTTCAAGAAGCTGAAATCATGAAGAAGTGGTCAAAGAATTTTTGACCAGGCTTTTTGCTTAAGAGATGTTATGCTATCTTGTTTCCTTAAAATTTGTCTGCTAGTTAAAAGCTACATTAGTCATTTCTTATAATAGCTGTCAGTCCAGCTTTGTCACTTACTATCTTACTTTAATGAATTCTAATTCAGAAGGACATTTGCTTGGTCTCCAATTATGACAGTGTAAGGATAAAAGCCTACCAAGGAAATTTTCAAACTGCTTGCTTAAGAGAGTTATACCATTGTATACCTTCTGAAAAGGAGAAGAATTGTATAGTTTTTATTCTTAATCATTATCTTGCTCAAAGTGGCTGAACACTGGTCTTAGCTGGTAATAGTGGTTTAATAATCATAACTTTGAACAATTTGAACGTTTACAGTATACTTTAAATCATGTCTCTTTATGAATCTGTATACTTTATCTTGAAATTTTCAATCTCTTATTATAAGTCATTTAGATACTCCTGCCTTCAGATCACCTCTTCCCTGTTTATAACTGTGGCTTTTGCAAAGTCTGTAATAATCGGAAGTGTGGGTTTCATCGTAATAGTTGCTGCACACAGACACATTGATGTTCTTTGATAGAGTAAATGTAAGCTTTATCCACTAGCAAAACCCTGACTCCCACCCCTGAGGCCATGGGTTCACAGCAAGACAAGTCCCCTTTTTCCCCAAATCATGAAGTTGAAGATTCAAATGATTCACATGATGCAGACCTCCAGTCAGACTTGAAAATGTTACAAAATCCAACAAAAACATTTTTCTTGAGTTACTTCATATCTTCTGTATTTTCAGGTACTGGGCAAAATTCTTACCAGCTGTCTGAATCCTTCACACTTCTGACTCGTTTTTTTGGTTATAGGGTAGAGCCCTTCCACTGTGAAGTAGTATGTGGCATGTGTCTTCTTTGAATTATGCAGTATATGATGCTCTCTGCAGTCATTTACCTTATTTGCTAGGTCATTCCTTCAATTAAACAGGATGTTTTTTAGCCAAGGTATCATGTTTATCTGCTTCTCTCCTCTGTCCAGTTTCCCCATTTCTGTGGATTTCTCTAGATCTTGCATCCATCCATTCTCTACCTGCTCCATTCTGAAAGACTTAGGCTCAGTTGCATATTAAGAGCTAACATTACTATTTGTTCTTTTCTGTTTGCTCGAAACCTGAGTCTCTGCTTATTGACTGCTCTGACTTCTCTAGATTTCAGCCATTTCGGTGTTGCGTTTCCCTCTTGATTGTTAACCATTAAGATGTAATGATTCTCGGTCTTACTTGACTTGGAAGACATCCAAAACTCTCACTGATTCTCTTAACATCCAAAGGAATTCAGTACAGGCTTTTCTGAATTTTAAATGAAACTCATACAAATTATATGTAGACAGATTTCCTGGATGACTTTGGTGTTTAGGCACATCCCCCTTTCTTTGCACTGGAAAACTGGAGGAAAAAAAAGTGTTGTCCAGTGTTGTATTGATATGCTGCTTTTCTTCTGCTGAATAGTGAGGTTGTTAAACCTGCATGATAAATCTTCTCATGATTACACAGGTATCATCAAATACAAAAGATGCCTGCTTTGCCTCTGCAGTTGAATGTTTACAGCAAATCAGGTAATTCTCTGAAATTTGTCTTTGTATTTTACTGTTCCTGCTATAGTAGTATCTAGTTTACTTGATTGTGATCCTTTACCTGTCACGTTTTCTTTGTTCACCTTCATAAGAGAGGTCACCAAGAAGTTTCAGAGTTCCTACTAAAAATGTTAGCAAATTCTTCCATAGAGGAATGAAGTACAGCCTCATAAATGCAACCAAGAGATGTGTCCATAGGACAGCATTTAGAATCAAAAGCGTGAGGGTGGCTAATCAGACATTCAGATGTATATTTGAACAGTTATGGCAAAATGACCTGTGTGTGGGGAGCTTTTCTGTGTCTGTTAGCTGACATAAGGAATTTTGCAGTAAGAATATAAGTAGAAATTAAAAGGGGTTTAGAAGGGAATTTTTCCCTCTTTAATGCTAAAACATCTTAAAACTGTGAAGACAGTCTCAGTTGCGGTAGTGTACCTTGACCCAGTAATTATGGCCTGGGGTACTACCCAGCCTTAGCAGCCAGGGCTGCTGTGATGTGGATGATCTGGCTTATCTTCTTGGGCACGGGGACATGCTAACTAGCAAACTGTCTTCCTGATTTAGATGCAGATATGTAACTTCTTATTGTTACCCTGTTTTGCTTTTGCTCTCCAAACAGTACCACATTTACCCCAGCTGACAAGTTGAAGGTGATCCAGCAGACTTTTGAAGAGATCTCTCAGAATGTTCTTGAGACTCTTCAGGAAGATTTTCTGTGGTCCATGGATGACTTATTTCCTGTTTTTCTCTATGTGGTGCTACGAGCCAGGTAGGCACTAAGAGTGGCATCAGTCATAAGCTGAGCATAGGCAGTATGAGTACTTTTATCTGTATTAAACATTCCAGCTTCTCATTACAGGACTACTTGCTAGCTTTTTGTAACTTAGTAAATTTTCCATTTTGGCTGGCTGCTTTTGCCTGAAAAAATTTTGAATGGCTAACTGTGAAATGGCTGTGACCTCAGAATGAGGTTAGGGAAAAGCGTGGGTTTTGCATAACACCATGTACAAAAAAAGTAAGAATGTTATAATGGTGTCTTTTGTTCACTTACTCTTTCTCTCTCCCCCATGTGACAGGATAAGGAATTTGGGGTCTGAGGTACACTTAATTGAAGACCTGATGGATCCTTATCTGCAGCACGGGGAGCAAGGCATCATGTTCACTACCTTGAAGGTATGAAAACTTTTCAGGGTTATTAAAAGCTTTCTTTGGAAATTAATCAGCTTTGAGCAATGGTGATCAGGTTAGGACAATTGTATGAGTATTAGTTTGTAACTTCTTTGACATTTTTATTGAGGTTTCTAACTAGGATGAGCAAGGAAACTTAACCTAGAGCTTCAGATAACCTAACAATTGCAGGTACTGCTAATAAAATGGTGCAGTGTGCAAATGTACTTTATTCAAATGTAATATCAGTTGCTGTTGGTTATTGTGAATGCTCACCTGTAGCTTGTTGTTTCCCTGCAACTTAACAAACCTTATTTCCTTCATAAAAATTGGAATGAAGTGGTGCTTTGGAGGTTAGTCATTCCACTACTGTTTAAGTCTAACATTACATCAAGATGCTTCAGGAATTCAATTTTGAAAAAAAAAAAAAAATAATCTTTTTACTGCATCACTCTCCACATTCTATTTAGTATTCTTCTCTTTCTAAGTATGGAAAAAGAGAGATAATCTGCTTTGAAGAATATCCTATTGTACACTAGGACCCCCATAATGGAAATAGGTTGTTTTGGTACCTCAAAACTGTTCAAACAAGTGAGTTTTGTGACAATTCAGCTATGTGGAGCTTTTCTGTGGGGTTATTTTGGAGAGAAGCTGTTAACCTGAAACTTAAATAAAAATCTTAAGCTGAGCTGCTAGGTGACCATGACTGTATTTTCTGTCTGTGCAAACTGGAAATAGTTGGGTGTAGAGGTCTTTTCATACCTGTTATTTTTAGAGTGCTGCATAAAGGGAAAGTTTGAGTTGGTGAAAATTGATCAAAGAACCTATGTAGAAACAGAATCTTATTTTCCATGAGTGCAGGTGTTGTCTGAGACATTTGTATTAAGTTTCTGGTCATGGCTGACCCAATACCTATTTGAGCCAACGTTAAGGAGTGAAAGCTATCAAGCAGCAGGTCATGGTGTTTATCCAGATGACAGAAACCTTTGCTTTTCAATCTGAGTGCTTTTGAAATGCTTAATCCCCGCATCCTTGTCCTGTAATAAAATATTTTCATTTTTGGGTCCTTCTGTCTAAGGGCAAAGAAAGACTTGTGAGCGAAAAAATGTACTTCATCTGAGCCAAGCTGGGAGCTGTGGAAGTATTGAGTCCCAAATCATGTTATCTTGCTTCATTAAGAGTTGGATGGAATTTGTAACTTAATCTCCTGTTGTTGTTTTTTGCTAGTTTATGTATTGGAAGGTTCTCATGTGTTGAGTGTCACTGTATCATCAGTGCTTGTAGAAAGCCTAGTCTGTTTTCTTGGATAGAAAAAAAATCAACCTTGTTGTGTATGATGCTTTATCAGCTTGCTGAGAACTGGTATGTGTGCTAAACTGAACTTTGTTTTAATTCAGGCATGTTACTACCAGATTCAACATGAAAAGCTTACCTAGACCATCATTTACGACCTGGCTCTGTGGGGTAATCTACTCACTGGAACTTCACTAATGCCCGCTTTCATCCCTGAAATGGCACTTTCAAAATATTCTACTACAGTTCTGTTGTTCAGTTGTTTCTTCTGAACTTTCAGTTTTAAGATTGGAAAACTGCAGCCAGAAGCTGTGAAGTGATGATGAAGCTAGAGACTTGGTTTGTCAATACTTGCCAAGAAGAAATAATTTCCTATTCTAACAGAAAGATTATTTACTCCTTTTCATTTAACAATGTTGCAAAAAGGCATGGCATCTCCACAGAGTACATGTGAAAGTCTGGACCGCATGGCTTCTAAAGCAGTGGGTTTGTTTTTATTATTTCTGGTTTGTCAACAGAGACGTTTAAAGAGAATGAATTGCACCACAGAACCATTACGTCTTCCTGAATTAAGCTATTGTGTTTGTTTATTTAAAAAATAGAAATATGTTAGTATTTATAATGGGTAACCTATAGTGTGTTTGGTTCTAAAGGTTTTGAGGCATCTTTGTTGAACAGAATTGCTGAATGCAGTATTAATGTGCTGTTGTGGAAGTAACCAAACTGTTATGGACTTCCCTGTTTACTAGAATTATAAATATAATGGCATTCACCATTCTTTCTGTTTATGAAATAAATAAAAGGCACTGATCACTTCAAATTTTGGCACTGAATTAAATGCCCAAAATCTGTAGTGTTCAGTTTCACTACCCTGAGGACAAACGCTTTCTCTGGAAGCCCACATGACAGGAGAATGGGAAAGTCCTCTTGAACAAGCTGACAATGGATTAGGTTTGACTTTTGCCTGTTAATTTATGTGTCAGAGTGAAAAAAGCTAACCTTATTGCATTTTTGAACATGTAGAGAACAAGTAATTTCCCTGGGGGATTTTTTTTTGTGTGTGTGTGTTCTTCTGTGGTTTATTATTAACTTTATTTATACCAATAACACTCATGGATAATTTGGGTATTGTAGGTGCTGTTGTTTACCATGGCTGACTCAAAAAAGGGGGAGGGAGGAATAGACTATAGAATGTTATAATGGCTTAAGTTATGTCAAACTACCATAGATAATGCTAATCATATTTTTGAAATAGTAATCATGGCTTGTGTATTGGCACCTAAATGGAAAGAAACCATATGTCAAAATACTGTTTTAAACAGTGACTGTAATGTAGCAATTTTCATAATAAAGTAAAAAAGATTGGTCTTTCTGAAATTATTTTTAGTTTTATCAGAGAAGGGGAAAGAG